TATCTAATTTACCTTTATCAGCTGATTAGTATTTCAACCACATCAAATATGCATCTAAGCCGAACTGAACTCTTATCAGAAACATGTTGGGTTGTTTTTTCACCACAGCATTCTATTTCCTTACAACTGGTCAAACTGATGTCATTTGGAAATTTAGCACAGGAAATCCTTCCCATTTTTTTTTTTTTTTGGCATTTTCTCCCTGGTCCCTGAACGTCTGCTCCGTGAAAGAGGCAGAGATGACAGAGAGAGAACTTTACCTTACCGTTGTCAACTATGACGTCAGAGAAACCGATGTCAACTAGATTGAAGCATTCATTTATGACGTCATTCTGGTGAGCAAGGGTTTATTTAGTCTTCCAGGGCAACAAATAACGACAGAAGAGAAGCTGCATGTATCTAATTATAGACAAGTTGACTAACAAATAGCCGACCAACATGTTCGGGAATTATAAGCAGAAACGTATCTAAATCAGACCACCAAAATATCCTGCACACCCTGTCAAAAAGAATACGCTATGCCGTCTGACTGTAATCTAACCTATAGCGTGTTTTCTATAGAAATATTTGTATGAACATGACAAGATTCAACAACTGAGACATAAACTGAACAAGTTCCACAGAAATGTGACTAACAGAAATGGAATAATGTGTCCCTGAACAAAGGGGGGGGGGGGGTCAAAATCAAAAGTAACAGTCAGTATCTGGTGTGGCCACCAGCTGTATTAAGTACTGCAGTGCATCTCCTCCTCATGGACTGCACCAGAATTTCCAGTTCTTGCTGTGAGATGTTACCCCACTCTTCCACCAAGGCACCTGCAAGTTCCCGGACATTTCTGGGGGGAATGGCCCTAGCCTTCACCCTCCGATCCAACAGGTCCTAGACGTGCTCAATGGGATTGAGATCCGGGCTCTTCGCTGGCCATGGCAGAACACTGACATTCCTGTCTTGCAGGAAATCACACACAGAACGAGCAGTATGGCTGGAGGCATTGTCATGCTGGAGGGCAATGTCAGGATGAGCCTGCAGGAAGGGTATCACATGAGGGAGGAGGATGTCTTCCCTGTAACGCACAGCGTTGAGATTGCCTGCATTGACAACAAGCTCAGTCTGATGATGCTGTGACACACCGCCCCAGACCATGACGGACCCTCCACCTCCAAATCAATCCCGCTCCAGAGTACAGGCCTCGGTGTAACGCTCATTCCTTCGACGATAAACGCGAATCCGACCATCACCCCTGGTGAGACAAAACCGCGACTCGTCAGTGAAGAGCACTTTTTGCCAGTCCTGTCTGGTCCAGCGACAGTGGGTTTGTGCCCATAGGCGACGTTGTTGCCGGTGATGTCTGGTGAGGACCTGCCTTACAACAGGCCTACAAGCCTTCAGTCCAGCCTCTCTCAGCCTATTGCGGACAGTCTGAGCACTGATGGAGGGATTGTGTGTTTCTTCCGCCCAGAGGGAAGGGGAGCTCCACGCCATGAAACTGGGGAAAATACCTGTTACTTGCTTTGCTCTCAGGAACAGGGTGCCATTGAAAGGAGTGATTTACTGTGGTCCATTATTATTAATGAACTGTAGAGTTTAATGGACTCTGAGGTAGAACTGGGTTAATCAAGAGCATAGAGTTAGATTTCTTCGTTACTGGGCCAGGAATTGAATTGGGTCATTTCACTGTGTGTGTGGGGTTTGTGCATGTTTCAAGGATTTAGGGCCTTGTCATGGTTAAACTAAACATGAGTGTGTGTGCAAGACAGGGGAGTGAGTGATTGGTTGGAGTTCTATGTGCATAATAAAAGTCGAGTTTAGCCGCCCTCGGAGACAAAGGAAGTGGGCGGAGCAATAAAAGAGCGGGAAACTGAAGAGGGGACTATATAAGATGGAGGGAAAGCGTAAGGGGGGGGGTGCCATTCTGCAGACTGGTATCGGCTTTGTTGAAACTTTAATAAAGTCATTTCTTGATGCAACAAAAACTCTGTAAGACCTTATTTGTAATAAAGTAAAGTGGTTATTTTCCACAACATTACCGGGGTGGCAGTGAGGGTGGATCAACTGAAGTTGAAGATTCCCGGTGTCTGTGACGCCCGCCGTTTGGTATGACGCAGGTCTGGTGCGAGCGTGGTGAAACAGAAGAGTCACCGTCTGTCCTTTTTGAGTTTTGATTCTGTTAGTTAACTTAAAACGACTCACGAAGCGGCATAGGTTATCAACAGTGACAATGGTTGGCTGCTATTTAAGTGATAGTTTTACTGTCAAATCCATGTATTGGTGTGTGGCCAGTGACTTTTACAGAGAGACTGCCCCAAATGTTCAAAGCCATTTCATTGACTCCACTTTCTAAGTGGTTCGAAGTCCTGCGCATCCCAGAGTGTGACAAAACAACAGTACAAAAACCAAAGACATTGATCTGTTTTAAGCAATCAATCTTATGCCATCTTTGTTAATATGTGTATGTGAAATACTCACGTCGGAGAGTTAGATGAGATGCAAGCACAATCCTTTACTCAGGTATGTTTCAGGTCACGACATCCTAATCAGACACTCATAATGCACCTGTTTATCTACCCTAGATAGGTGCCCCCGCTAGCGCCATCTCTGGGTTGGCAGTATGCCCATTATCTCAACAATCGTGATGAGTATAAACTTTTATACTAACATCACCAATCTGACCTCCCGAGTGGCGCAGTGGTCTAAGGCACTGCATTGCAGTGCTAGCTGTGCCACTAGAGATCCTGGTTCGAATCCAGGCTCTGCTGTAGCCGGCTACAACCGGGAGACCAATGGGGCGGCGCACAATTGGCCCAGGGTAGGGGAGGGAATGGCCGGCAGGGAGGTAGCTCAGTTGGTAGAGCATGGCGTTTGCAACGCCAGGGTTGTGGGTTCAATTCCCACGGGGGGCCAGTATGAAAAAAGAATAATGTATGCACTAACTGTAAGTCGCTCTGGATAAGAGCGTCTGCTAAATAATGTAAATGTAATGTTTACAAAAAAACGACTGCATTGCCTTTATCTTCCCCAAGCAAATGAAAATACAGTTATTTCTCTCTATTGTATCATGTGGGCTACATTTGGGCTGATACAAAACAGGTTAAAAAAAAAAATGCTGCAAAATGTCACCGATGTATTTCATGTATTTTGCCCTTATAAACAGGCCCATTTCTACCCCCTTTATAAACAGGCCCATTTCTACCCCCTTTATAAACAGGCCCATTTCTACCCCCTTTATAAACAGGCCCATTTCTACCCCCTTTATAAACAGGCCCATTTCTACCCCCTTTATAAACAGGCCCATTTCTACCCCCTTTATAAACAGGCCCATTTCTACCCCCTTTATAAACAGGCCCATTTCTACCACATTCTTGCCTGCATCTTTTATACGTCCCGTGCTGGAATGCCGACAGGCTGGGGACGAGTGGTAGTAGATGTGGGTGGGGTCTATTTTTAATAAATCCATTGAGAATATACACCATCAAAAGGAAATCCATTATTAATTAGTTTAGGCAGGTCCTAAGAAACATTATAAGACTAAATAAAATGTATTTTCAAAAGAATAGAATAGCATATTTTGAGTTTAATTAGGTCTATGTTATGGGTCTGTGCAGCCATGGCTGCGCCATCCAAATGAAATCAGTAGTTCATTGTTTTTTGTATTTTTACCCCCTTTTTCGGAGGAAACACCGTTCAACTGACGACCGAAGTCACCCGACCCACCACAAGGAGTCGCTAGAGCGAGATGAGCCAGGTAAAGCCCCCCCCTGGCCAAACCCTCCCCTAACCCGGACAACACTGGGCCAATTGTGCGCCGCTCTATGGGACTCCCGATCACAGCCGGTTGTGATACAGCCCGGGATCGAACCCGGGTCTGTATTGAAGCCTCTAGCACTGTGATGCAGTGCCTTAGACCGCTGCGCCACTCGGGAGGCCATTATTATGTTCATTAAACAGACAAGACACACCTACCCGATCACAGTCAAAACACATACTTTAGAGTAAGAATGGAATATAACAGAATAAAATGTCCTTTTGAGTATTGATTCTGAGTCTTTACCTGACAAAGTAATGTTAAGATATACCGGTTATCCCGTTAGAGGTTTTGTTCCCAACCCACTATGGTGTTTCAGGTGCCAAGCTTATGGTCATGTTGCAGCAGTGTGTAGGAGGGATATTCCCAGTGCTTGACTTGGGCAGTTCACTGGAGCTAAGTACCAGCACCTCAAATGTTCTACTGCTTGAGCTCCTGCACCTCTTATAGAATATTAGCGCAAAAGTATTGTGGAGCTCCTGCAGCTAAACAGCTAAACAGTACCTATTTCAGTCCAAGTCGAGAACAGGCGATTCCTAGTTGTGAGAAGTGTGCAGGAGGGCAGCTGCTGAGAAGTACTTGGGTGTACAAGATTTTACAGCAGAAGAGTTACAATATTATTATTATTATTATTATTATTATTATTATGTTTTCAATGACAGTGTCCCATCCTCCCAGGCTGCTGGCCTGGAGTAGGATCGGATAGGGCCAAAGTAGTGGAATAGTGGTGAAGGTTTAATGGGTGCAGGGTTAGTTGGCAGGGCAAATTTTTTTTTCACAAAGTGTAATGAATTCATACTAGAGAATTAAATAGTAGGCTGATACACTGCCATTACAGTAGGTGGCGGCATGCACCTATAACATAATACCGAAGCAGAAGAAGAACCTCAATCTCCACTATTTTTCCTGCCTGGTTTTACCTGTGGGATGCTCAAACTGAACTCAAGCGGCACATACACTGCTCTCGTCATCGCCTGCCGCCATATTGGATAAACTACCAGTGGACGATGAGTGGAAAAAAATAAAATATTGTTTCTATTTCGCTACATTGGTTGTAGTATAGTTGTTAATACCAGTGCTAAAACACTCGTCCGTAGCTGTATGTGTCGTACAAATTAAAGTGGTTTAAAAAATATCGGCCAGTGAGGAGTCCGGGGCGAGGGGTTTCGTCTTTTGACGTTGTTAGGACTTGTAAATATGACTTCCCTGACACAGCGGAGCTCCGGCCTAGTGCAGAGGCGGACCGAGGCCTCTCGTAGCTCTGGCGCCGACAAGGACGGAGGGTCCGGGGATGAGGACTTCGAGCCCCGCCGCGGAGAAGAGCAGGAGGAGGAGGACAAGGGAGACTCCAAAGAAACTCGACTCACTTTGATGGAAGAAGTGTTACTGTTGGGATTGAAGGACCGCGAGGTATAACTTAATGACATTTTATTTTATTATATTATGTTGCTGCTAAAACCATATTATTATAGTATTTAGCTGGTTAGGTAACGTAAGTTAACGTTACTCAAAGATCTCAAACAAAATTCACCTAACGGGCGCTAACCGTTAGTAGCTAACGTTAGCTACCGTAACTAGCTACATTTTGTCAACATCGAATGAATGCTAACGTTAGCTAGCTACATACAGTAGGTAGTTACCTGAGGGGTATCCTAACAAGGAAACTACATCTACTCGGGGTTTTCTAAAGTTAACCAGCTTCATCATTCCAGCTCAGGCTTCAAACTGGACATATTTTTTTTTTATCACTGGTTAGAGCACAACCTGCAGAAGACATCTAGCTACATTTTGATTCAAGTGTGTCGCCAACGCGGCAAGTGTAACCCAACACTTTCTTTGATAATGTCCTCCATCGATGTCACACTGAAATCAATAGGACAGGGGGCAAACGTTTGGGGTGTAGCGTTTTAAACTAACTCTATTCAAAGGCTACACGGAAACTTGAAATAACCTATACATGGTTGGTTAATGAGAATTGACAGTAGGCTTATATCTATATTTTGGGATGTTGGTTTCGGGAGGCTGCCATCACGGAAAAGGTAACAATCCACTTTTTCTGTTAATTAACTGAAACTTATCACAACACAACATATATGTTATCAACAGTGACTACGGTTGGCTGCTATTTAAGTGATGGTTTGATTATCAAATCCATGTATTGGTGTGTGGCCGATGACTTTTATAGAGAGAATATTCAGTGCCATTTCATTAACTCTACATTCCAAGTGGTTCTAAGTGTGTGACAAAATCAACGGTACAAAACCATAGATATGTATCTGTTTTTAAGCAATCTCATGTCATTGTGATGAGTATAAACGTTTATACTAACATCACCAATCTGAGGTCAAAAGGATGTGTAATTCCACTACATTTTATGGGGTGAAAATGCAAGCTTGTGTAGTACTGCTTTCACATTTTTCACGTTTATATGACCCCCTTATAAACAGGCCCATTTTTACCACATTCTTGCTGCATGCTGGGGATGAGTGGTAGATGTGGGTGGGGTCTATTTGAATAAATCCATTGAGAATATATGCCATCAAAAATAAATCAATGATTAATTAGTTTAGGCAGGTCCTAAGCAACATTGACTAATGTATTTTTAAAATAATAGAATAGCATATTTAGAGTTTAATTAGGCCTATGTTACAGGTCTGTGCAGCCATGGCTGACCATCCAAATGAAATCAATATGTTGTTATTTTGTTAATGAAACAGACAAGACACCTACCCGATCAGTCAACACACTAGGGCTGTCCCTGACATAAATAAGTTGTCTGTTCTTTCACATTCTACACAATGTTTTTAATCAAATTAACTATATGCATTGAGCTTGTCTGATGCTTTAAGCTCACTGTGTGATGAAATAAGACACAAATGACTCGAGGGAACCAGAGATCAAGATAACCAGAATAAAAAAAACTTAACCTGACCCAACCATCCTCCTCCCGCTCCTACTGGCTTTCGCAGATTCTGCCGTTACTCTCCTGAAGTTGTCGGTAATAGGGTATACGAGGAGTCGGCAGGTGGAATACCAGTCTGCGTGCCAGTTATGGTTTTCATATACACATCTTTGTGGAACGGTTTCATTTCATTTATAGTAATGTCTTCGTATCTCAAAATGAGAGATGGCGCCGGAGGAGATGGCTGCCGTTTTATGGGCTCTTAACCAACCGTGCTATTTTTTTCTCTCGCATTGTTTGTAACTTACTTTGTTCACAATGTTACTGCTACCGTCTCTTATGACCGAAAAGAGCTTCTGGACAACAGAACAGCGATGACTCACCTTGAACTGGACAAATAATCTTGCTTTAATGAGTCGGAAGAGAGGAATTTGCTCCAGACACCCGACAGGGACCTCATCCCCGTCATTCGCAGTAGAAAGAAAATAAGATATCGCGGAAGGAGATCGAGGTGTCTGGTAAGGCGCCGGCGACGAGTGGCTAATCTGCCTTTGCCATGGATACTATTGGCCAACGTACAATCGCTTGATAATAAAGTGGACGAACTAGAAGCATGTATATCCTACCAACGGGACATTAACTGTAATATCTTATGTTTCACCGAGTCGTGGCTGAACGACGACATGAATAACATACAGCTGGTGGGTTATACGCTGTATCGGCAGGATAGAACAGCAGCCACCCCTTGTCTTACCAGAGGCTGTCTATGTATATTTGGAAACAACAGCTGGTGCACGATATCTAAGGAAGTCTCGAGGTTTTGCTCGCCTGAAGTAGAATATCTCATGATAAGCTGTAGACCACACTATCTACCAAGAGTTTATCTATATTCTTCATAGCTGTCTATTTACCACCACAAACCAATGCTGGCACTAAGACTGCACTCAATGAGCTGTATAAGGCCATAAGTCAACAGGATAACGCTCATCCAGAGGCAGCGCTCCTAGTGGCCGGGGACTTTAATGCAGGGAAACTTAAATCCGTTCTACCTAATTTCTACCAGCATGTTAAATGTGCAACCAGAGGAAAAAAATCTCTAGACCACCTTTACTCCACACACAGAGACGCATACAAAGCTCTCCCTCGCCCTCCATTTGGCAAATCTGACCATAACTCTATCCTCCTGATTCCTGCTTACAAGCAAAAACTAAAGCAGGAAGCACCAGTGACTCGTCAATAAAAAAGTGAAAATAGGCCTATTTTTAACACTGAAAATGCTTTTTCTAAATTAAATGATCAATGAGACATTGTTGCATACAAGGATATTATACCATGTAGGGGTAAGGATATAAGATAAACAGAGTAGAGGCAGCTTGTATGTGAGTAGGTGTGTAGAGTCAGTATAAAGGTATGTGTGAGCAACTGATGGAGTGAGTGTTTGTGTGGGGGGAATTATCAACGTTTCCAGTCACAATTTTTGCATTTACCTCATATAATGACTTCTGTGATTTTGATCAAATGAAGCTTGGTTTGTTCTAAGGTAACTTTAATATGCTGAAACTGTACTTTTGTATTTGTATAAGAAGTGTAAACGTACGTAAGTAATGTGTACATTTAACTAATGCGCGTACGAACGAGAAAATAGAACCCTTTAATCTGCACATGCTTGGAATTGTTGCATTATTCAAGTGTGTAATATGGTTTGGTTGCTTTATTCGAGAGTGTATCTAATATGTTTTAGTGGAAAAGTTGCTGGCGTTGTTGAATAGTAAGTGTGCATGCTAACTGGCTAGCTCATCAGGGGCTACAGCGATACTGATACTTACAGTACATTTGGAGCTGCAGTGCAGGAATGTCACGTCGCCAGCCAAAACCAAAGGTAAAGCAAGGAGGTCATGTCAATTGAATGTAAGTTTTGGCGCTGCCTCTATTGGCGCTGCCTCTACTTAAATGTTTGTCAATGAAAATAGCCTTTAAATGCTACGATCAGGAGAGGAGAAGGGGGGGAGGGGGGGGGGGGGTAACTAAAGAACAGTAAGACAGAATCTCGTCTTACCTGTGTGGCTGCACACACACACACACACACAGTGTCTTCTCTGTGTTCTAGAACAACAATCTCGTCAGGCCTGTGTGGCTGTTTGCTTACACTCACACACACACACACACACACACACACACACACTCACCCCTGTCCTCCTCCTCCTCCTCCTCCTCCTCCTCATCCTCCTCAGGGCTACACGTCGTTCTGGAACGACTGCATCTCGTCAGGGCTGCGTGGCTGCATGCTGATAGAGCTGGCCATCAGAGGACGCCTACACCTGGAGGCCTGTGGCATGAGGAGGAAAAGCCTGCTCGCCAGAAAGGTAGGGAATCCTGACCAAACTGACCAACTCTCGAAAGTGTGTGTTGCCAGTGTTGTGACTTTTGCCTATGGATATTCAAGATCATTTACAGATTTTTAATTGCTCTAATTTATTTAATTAATTTGGTTTCCTATTCAAATAAATCTAAGAGGGGAACCATTTAAGGGTTTTGATATAGAGACCCCTTGAATTAACTCTATCAGTAGTTATCATTAACCATTTTACACCATTTAATACTATATCAACAATAGTCCTAATCAACAGTTCATTTACTATGTTGTCGAGCTCTCAGACGAATCCAATCGCCCGTTAAGGACTTCAATGCAACAACGGATTTACTTCAAAGTTTTATTACTGGACTTAACATAGATTGAAAATGAGGAAGGTGCAGTTGTCTTAATAGACCCAAGGTACAAATGGAAAAACGCAGTACAATCATTGACGTGGGGAACTCTACAGATCAATTGAATAGGCTTATGTAGCCTACTCACAGGCAACACTTTGGAGAATTGGAAATTCTTATTTGTGAGAACAGGAGAAGTGTTGAGAGACTACATCAGTAAAACTTCCCAGCCGTGAAACGAAATGTTCCCTGATCAGGGGTAAACTGGCCCGGTTACAGGTTAACACCCGCCGTGGACAGAGCCAGGACAGTATTGGTTGTTGATATGTCATTACGACTAACAGTCTTACAGTGATCAGCCACTGCCACCACTTTTACACAGACACAGGGTCACCCAAAGGGAAATCAAATGCAATGATGTACGTGATTTACGTGTATTTTTAGCTGATTCAGTTGGGTTTCCATTATGACTGAGATGAAACATGGAAAAGGTCAGTGGTCCCGGCAGCTGGACTTGCAGCCGAAGAAGCTTCTTCCCTCGTCGGAGCTCACGCATAGGAGCCCGTCGTTCTCTCTCAAAAGTGATGATGTCGGTTGTTGCGAGACGGGAGGGGCCCGTTCTCTTTCTCTCTCGGACTCAGTCCTCAATTCTATTCAGTCCAAAGAGATAACGTTTTTAAGGCACTAGGGTGCAGTGGAATGTTTCGGGTCCCCTTAGGGAAAGATAAAACTCAGCGGTCGTGAGTGAGCAGAGGGTTTCTCGGCAAAGTTCCTCTCAGGTGATTCATCTGTATGAGCTGGATAAGGCTTCCTCGATCGGAGTTTTGGGTTTCCAAGGAGATGGGATCATTTTGTCCCACGGACGTGGCCTCGTCTTAAGGAACTTGATTCTAATTTCTGGTAAGTAAAGGCCTCTAATTTATAGGGAGACTCACAGAAGGCGGGCTCTAATGGCCGGACAGTGTCATTGGGACCGCCACGTTGATTGTAAGGATTCTGCATGGCGATGTTCATATGATTATACCTAAGAGACTAATAGGTGTTCACAGTTTCACTTCATTCCCGATGATGAAAAACGTAGCCTGTAGGGTTCAAACAACGACCGTGGTTCCTTTACACTCTCTGTATGTTACAGCAAAATATACAGTAAATTCTTCTTTTTAATGACAGGAAAATCAGAAGAAAGATATTCAAGTTAAATCAACATGTCATGAGTCCCTCAGTTTTTTTTACGGAGAAGAAAGCGTGTTTTAAATGTCCTTTTGCGCACTTGGCGCCATTTTCTCTTTGTTACAAAGAGTAACAATTCCTGACTTTCCTCTTGGGATATACACATGCAGATCACCAGGTGGTCTGCTGACTTGCAGAAGGGTCTGGTTTCGGTCTCCTGAGCTGCTCAGCTCAGTTCAGAGCCGGAAATGAAGAGCAGGTTCGGAACCACTAAACAGTTACCTCAAGTTGCAAAAGAAAACAGGAGCTGCCTCCACTATTCCAGCACCATTTCAACGTGACAACTAAAAGATACCAAAAACGATTTAGTCCAATGAACATAAAGCTAAATATGATGTGGCTGTCCATGGTTCTGATTTCTGTTTAGTAGAAAAACATGTTGACTCACCCTACTTGTAGAAGAGTGACGCCAATGCCATCCTCCTCTCTTTCATGTTTCTGTTAATGATGAATGCTCTCAAAGCGATTTTGATAGGAGAGAAGCCAAATCCAAGCTCGCTTCCCTTGACACTTTAATTTTTTTCCGCCAGGACCATTCACAGTTGAGCGCGCTCAGTTTAGCTCAAAGCTGATTTGGCTAATTTTTATATACTTTGTTTGTCAAGGGAGACCAGATGGTCGCTGGTTTCCCTTGCCTTCAAATGCTACGGGCGGCAACAATGTCATACTGGTTTGGACCAGACAGCATCAGATAGATGGCCTACATTTTAGAGAGACAAAGGGTTGCTGTGCTTGGATGCTTTCTCCTGTGAGATACATTCAGCCTCTTGCGAATTGAAGGAAAATTATGGAACACAGAGAGACAAATTAGTATTTATTTTTGGTGCATTTTTGGGAGAAGCCTGGCTTCCCTTGGCATCCATGAATACATGCCACCGATGACAGACTAGGAGCAGCACAGGGGTTTGGTTGGTGAGTATGAGCATCCCATACCTTGCCACAAGGGGGAACTATTGGGGGCGAGACTACCTATTTCTCCACATAGCAGGATTACTATTGTATGTCACTTCCAGAGGACGGACTGCCGGTCAATACAACCTGACACTTAAGTGCATACACTAAACTGAGATCAATCAGCGCGTGTCAGCCAATGGCCTAGGGTCTAGTTTGAATTCCATCTGCCACTTCTGCCAACCGCAGTTCTTCGTAGTGGACTGAGGTTAGAAGGCATCTTCCTCACTGAATGGCAATATAGTTTTATAGGCAAGTTAGGGAAGCAGACGAGCCGCTGGAGGGTTGCATGCAAAAATACATTAAGACAATGGACAAAGTATTCTTCTGCTTATTCTGACTGTTGTATTTAGCCTGTTCTGACTGTTGTATTTACCCTGTTCTGACTGTTGTATTTAGCCTGTTCTGACTGTTGTATTTAGCCTGTTCTGACTGTTGTATTTAGCCTGTTCTGACTGTTGTATTTAGCCTGTTCTGACTGTTTTATTTAGGCCTGTTCTGACTGTTGTATTTAGCCTGTTCTGACTGTTGTATTTAGCCCTGTTCTGACTGTTGTATTTAGCCTGTTCTGACTGTTGTATTTAGCCTGTTTCTGACTGTTGTATTTAGCCTGTTCTGACTGTTGTATTTAGCCTGTTCTGACTGTTGTATTTAGCCTGTTCTGACTGTTGTATTTAGCCTGTTCTGACTGTTGTATTTAGCCTGTTCTGACTGTTGTATTTACCCTGTTTCTGACTGTTGTATTTAGCCTGTTCTGACTGTTGTATTTACCCTGTTCTGACTGTTGTATTTAGCCTGTTCTGACTGTTGTATTTAGCCTGTTCTGACTGTTGTATTTACCCTGTTCTGACTGTTGTATTTAGCCTGTTCTGACTGTTGTATTTAGCCTGTTCTGACTGTTGTATTTAGCCTGTTCTGACTGTTGTATTTAGCCTGTTCTGACTGTTGTATTTAGCCTGTTCTGACTGTTGTATTTAGCCTGTTCTGACTGTTGTATTTAGCCTGTTCTGACTGTTGTATTTACCCTGTTCTGACTGTTGTATTTAGCCTGTTCTGACTGTTGTATTTAGCCTGTTCTGACTGTTGTATTTAGCCTGTTCTGACTGTTGTATTTAGCCTGTTCTGACTGTTGTATTTAGCCTGTTCTGACTGTTGTATTTAGCCTGTTCTGACTGTTGTATTTACCCTGTTCTGACTGTTGTATTTAGCCTGTTCTGACTGTTGTATTTAGCCTGTTCTGACTGTTGTATTTACCCTGTTCTGACTGTTGTATTTAGCCTGTTCTGACTGTTGTATTTAGCCTGTTCTGACTGTTGTATTTAGCCTAGAAGTTGTGTTCTGACTGAGTAGTTGTGTCATCTCCAGGTGATCTGTATTGAATGGCAGTATTGTTTTTGTTCCGAGTGTGTTCTATATACAGTTGGCTAAAGCTGTTTCAGGTTCTGACTGTGCGGTTGTATTGTGTCTCCCAGGTGATCTGTAAGTCAGATGCTCCGACGGGAGACGTGCTATTGGACGAGGCTCTGAAACACGTAAAGGACACCCAGCCCCCAGAGACGGTGCAGAGCTGGATTGAGCTGCTCAGTGGTGAGTGTGTTAGAGCCACACTTTAACATACAGAGTGGTCTCAGCCAGGCTAACCACCAAACAGACAGGTTAGCTACTAACAGAGTGGTCTCAGCCAGGCTAACCACCAAACAGACAGGTTAGCTACTAACAGAGTGGTCTCAGCCAGGCTAACCACCAAACAGACAGGTTAGCTACTAACAGAGTGGTCTCAGCCAGGCTAACCATCAAACAGACAGGTTAGCTACTAACAGAGTGGTCTCAGCCAGGCTAACCACCGAACAGACAGGTTAGCTACTAACAGAGTGGTCTCAGCCAGGCTAACCACCGAACAGACAGGTTAGCTACTAACAGAGTGGTCTCAGCCAGGCTAACCACCGAACAGACAGGTTAGCTACTAACAGAGTGGTCTCAGCCAGGCTAACCACCGAACAGACAGGTTAGCTACTAACAGAGTGGTCTCAGCCAGGCTAACCACCGAACAGACAGGTTAGCTACTAACAGAGTGGTCTCAGCCAGGCTAACCACCGAACAGACAGGTTAGCTACTAACAGAGTGGTCTCAGCCAGGCTAACCACCGAACAGACAGGTTAGCTACTAACAGAGTGGTCTCAGCCAGGCTAACCACCGAACAGACAGGTTAGCTACTAACAGAGTGGTCTCAGCCAGGCTAACCACCAAACAGACAGGTTAGCTACTAACAGAGTGGTCTCAGCCAGGCTAACCACCAAACAGACAGGTTAGCTACTAACAGAGTGGTCTCAGCCAGGCTAACCACCAAACAGACAGGTTAGCTACTAACAGAGTGGTCTCAGCCAGGCTAACCACCAAACAGACAGGTTAGCTACTAACAGAGTGGTCTCAGCCAGGCTAACCACCAAACAGACAGGTTAGCTACTAACAGAGTGGTCTCAGCCAGGCTAACCACCAAACAGACAGGTTAGCTACTAACAGAGTGGTCTCAGCCAGGCTAACCACCAAACAGACAGGTTAGCTACTAACAGAGTGGTCTCAGCCAGGCTAACCACCAAACAGACAGGTTAGCTACTAACAGAGTGGTCTCAGCCAGGCTAACCACCAAACAGACAGGTTAGCTACTAACAGAGTGGTCTCAGCCAGGCTAACCACCAAACAGACAGGTTAGCTACTAACAGAGTGGTCTCAGCCAGGCTAACCACCAAACAGACAGGTTAGCTACTAACAGAGTGGTCTCAGCCAGGCTAACCACCAAACAGACAGGTTAGCTACTAACAGAGTGGTCTCAGCCAGGCTAACCACCAAACAGACAGGTTTACTACTGACAGAGTGGTCTCAGCCACTAGGTGGCAGTAGTGGTTGTGTTTTGAGTTTTGATTCTAACTGTGTGATTGTATTGGTAGTAGTTGTAGTAGTTGTATTGGATACATTTGTGTTTAGTTATTACAGTTATATTATAGAAAAACCAAAGCCTGTAACACCTTCCCCCTTAAGACAATAAATATATCCAAGTTTGCTCACGACCAACAGAACTTCCATTTCACAACATGATCAACTAATGTGTTGCCTTCTGCGATATAAACATGGTGTCTACTGGCTGTCAATACTGAAATACAAGACCAAACAGCCATATATATAATATATATATACACACACAGTTGAAGTCAGAAGTTTAGATTCACTTAGGTTGGAGTCATTAAAACTCGTTTTTCAACCACTCCACACATTTCATGTTAACAAACTATAATTTTGGCAAGTTGGTTAGGACATCTACTTTGTGCATGACACAAGTAATTTTTCCAACAATTGTTTACAGACAGATTATTTCACTTATAATTCACTGTATCACAATTCCAGTGGGTCAAAAGTTTACATACACTAAGTTGACTGTGCCTTTTAAAAAGCTTAGAAAATTCCAGAAAATTATGTCATGGCTTTAGAAGCTTCAGAAGAAAAATTGTAGACCTCCACAAGTCTGGTTCATCCTTGGGAGCAATTTCCAAACGCCTGAAGGTACCACGTTCATCTGTACAAACAATAGTACGCAAGTATAAACTCTATGGGACCACGCAGCCGTCATACCGCTCAGGAAGGAGACATGTTCTGTCTCCGAGAGATGAACGTACTTTGGTGCGAAAAGTGCAAATCAATCCCAGAACAACTGCAAAGGACCTTGTGAAGATGCTGGAGGAAACAGGTATAACAGTATCTATATCCACAGTAAAACAAGTCCTATATCGACAGAACCTGAAAGGCCGCTCAGCAAGGAAGAAGCCACTGCTCCAAAACCGCCATAAAAAAGCCAGACTACGGTTTGCAACTGCACATGGGGACAAAGATGGTACTTTTTGGAGAAATGTCCTCTGGTCTGATGAAACAAAATTAGAACTGTTTGGCCATAATGACCATCGTTATGTTTTGAGGAAAAGGGTGGTGCTTGCAAGCTGAAGAACACCATCCCAACCGTGAAGCACGGGATTGGCAGCATCATGCTGTTGGGGTGCTTTGCTGCAGGAGGGACTGGTGCACTTCACAAAATAGATGGCATCATGAGGAAGGAAAATTATGTGGATATATTGAAGCAACATCTCAAGACATCAGTCAGGAAGTTAAAGCTTGGTCGCAAATGGGTCTTCCAAATGGACAATGACCCCAAGCATACTTCCATAGTTGTGGCAAAATGGTTGACCCAAGTTAAACAATTTAAAGGCAATGCTACCAAATACTAATTGAGCGTATGTAAACTTCTGACCCACTGGGAATGTGATGAAAGAAATAAAAGCTTAAATAAATCATTCTCTCTACTATTATTCTGAAATTTCACATTCTTAAAATAAAGTGGTGATCCTAACTGACCTAAGACAGGGAATCTTTACTAGGATTAAATGTCAGGAATTGTGAAAAACTGAGTTTAAATGTATTTGGCTAAGGTGTATGTAAACTTCAGACTTCTTCTACTGTGTCTTTATCTCTGCAGAACACTAGTTGGTATTAGCTAGCCCAACTTGTGTTAGGGATGTGCGCGGTTATTGGAATATCCGAATGGACGTTAGTATTCTAATAAAATAAAATAAAAGTCCCACAACGTCATGCAGCCTAAAGGTGACCTCCTCTCCTTCTAATCAGGGGCTCATTCAGACCTGGGCCTTGTCTTGTCTTAAGGGTATTCTGATCCTGCAGAAGAGACAGCCTAAAGGTAACCTCCTCTCCTTCTAATCAGGGGCTAATTCAGACCTGGGCCTTGTCTTGTCTTAAGGGTATTCTGATCCTGCAGAAGAGACAGTGTAATTAGTTTAAAATCTGTTTGTGCTGCGAATGACCATACAGTGAGGGGAAAAAAGTATTTGATCCCCTGCTGATTTTGTACGTTTGCCCACTGACAAAGAAATTATCAGTCTATAATTTTAATGGTAGGTGTATTTGAACACTGAGAGACAGAATAACAACAACAAAAATTCAGAAAAACGCATGTCAAAAATGTTATAAATTGATTTGCATTTTAATGAGGGAAATAAGTATTTGACCCCTTTGCAAACATGACTTAGTACTTGGTGGCAAAACCCTTGTTGGCAATCACAGAGGTCAGACGTTTCTTGTAGTTGGCCACCAGGTTTGCACACATCTCAGGAGGAATTTTGTCCCACAAACAAACAAAATAACTTTCTTCTGAGACTCTTCAGTCTATTCTTGTTCTGAGAAATGAAGGCTATTCTATGCGAGAAATTGCCAATAAATTGAAGATCTCGTTCAACGCTGTGTATTACTCCCTTCACAGAACAGCGCAAACTGTCTCTAACCAGAATAGAAAGAGGAGTGGGAGGCCCCGGTGCACAACTGAGCAAGAGGACAAATACATTAGTGCAGGGTTCTTCAATTCTGGTCCTGGAGGGCTGAAACACCTCTGTTTTTCATCCTCTCCTTCTAATCAGGGGCTAATTCAGACCTGGGACACCAGGTGAGTGCAATTAACTAGCAGGTAGAAATAAAAAACAGAAGTGTTTCGGCCCTCCAGGACCGGAATTGAAGAACCCTGCATTAGTGTCTAGTTTGAGAAACAGACGCCTCACAGGTCCTCAACTGGCAGCTTCATTAAATAGTACCCGCAAAACACCAGTCTCAACGTCAACAGTGAAGAGGCGACTCCGGGATGCTGACCTTCTAGGCAGAGTAGCAAAGAAAAAACCATATCTCAGACTGGCCAATAAAAAGAAAAGATTAAGATGGGCAAAAGAACACTGACAGAGGAGGAAGATTGGAAAAAAGTTTTATGGACGAATCGAAGTTTGAGGTGTTCGGTTCACAAAGAAGAACATTTGTGAGACGCAGACCAAATGAAAAGATGCTGCAGGAGTGCTTGATGCCATCTGTCAAGCATGGTGGAGGCAATGTGATGGTCTGGGGGTGCTTTGGTGGTAAAGTGGGAGATTTTGTACATGGTAAAAGGGATCTTGAAGATGGAAGGCTATCACTCCATTTTGCAACACCATGCCATAATACCCTGTGGACGGCGCTTGATTGGAGCCAATTTCCTCCTACAACAGGACAATGACCAAAAGCACAGCTCCAAACTATGCAAGAACTATTTAGGAAATAAGCAGTCAGCTGGTATTCTGTCTATAATGGAGTGGCCAGCACAGTCACCGGATCTCAACCCTATTGAGCTGTTGTGGGAGCAGCTTGACCGTATGGTACGTAAGAAGTGCCCATCAAGCCAATCCAACTTGTGGGAGATGCTTCAGGAAGCTTGGGGTGAAATCTCTTCAGATTACCTCAACAAATTGACAACTAGAATGCCAAAGTTCTGCAAAGCTGGAATTGCTGCAAATGGAGGATTCTTTGACGAAAGCAAAGTTTGAAGGACACAATTATTATTTCCATTAAAAATCATTATATCTAACCTTTCCTATACCTTTCCTTTCCTATTATATCTAACATTTCCTATGCATTTTGCTATATTTCCCATTCACACTGATTTAATGTATGTTTTCATGGAATACAAGGACATTTCTAAGTGACCCCAAACTTTTGAACTTAGTGTGTGTGTGTGTGTATATATATATATATATATATATATATATATACATACATACATACATACATACATACATACATACATACATACATACATACATACATACATACATACATACATACATACATACATACAGTGGGGGGAAAAAAGTATTTAGTCAGCCACCAATTGTGCAAGTTCTCCCACTTAAAAAGATGAGAGAGGCCTGTAATTTTCATCATAGGTACACGTCAACTATGACAGACAAAATGAGAAAAAAAATTCCAGAAAATCACATTGTAGGATTTTTAATGAATTTATTTGCAAATTATGGTGGAAAATAAGTATTTGGTCAATAACAAAAGTTTCTCAATACTTTGTTATATACCCTTTGTTGGCAATGACACAGGTCAAACGTTTTCTGTAAGTCTTCACAAGGTTTTCACACACTGTTGCTGGTATTTTGGCCCATTCCTCCATGCAGAGCAGTGATGTTTTGGGGCTGTCGCTGGGCAACACAGACTTTCAACTCCCTCCAAAGATTTTCTATGGGGTTGAGATCTGGAGACTGGCTAGGCCACTCCAGGACCTTGAAATGCTTCTTACGAAGCCACTCCTTCGTTGCCCGGGCGGTGTGTTTGGGATCATTGTCATGCTGAAAGACCCAGCCACGTTTCATCTTCAATGCCCTTGCTGATGGAAGGAGGTTTTCACTCAAAATGAAAACAAAAATTTTTCACTCAAAAAATAATGATGTTTCCACCCCATGCTTCACAATAGGTATGGTGTTCTTTGGATGCAACTCAGCATTCTTTGTCCTCCAAACACAACGAGTTGAGCTTTTACCAAAAAGTTATATTTTGGTTTCATCTGACCATATGACATTCTCCCAATCCTCTTCTGGATCATCCAAATGCACTCTAGCAAACTTCAGACGGGCCTGGACATGTACTGGCTTAGGCAGGGGGATACGTCTGGCACTGCAGGATTTGAGTCCCTGGCGGCGTAGTGTGTTACTGATGGTAGGCTTTGTTACTTTGGTCCCAGCTCTCTGCAGGTCATTCACTAGGTCCCCCCGTGTGGTTCTGGGATTTTTGCTCACCGTTCTTGTGATCATTTTGACCCCACGGGGTGAGATCTTGCGTGGAGCCCCAGATCGAGGGAGATTATCAGTGGTCTTGTATGTCTTCCATTTCCTAATAATTGCTCCCACAGTTGATTTCTTCAAACCAAGCTGCTTACCTATTGCAGATTCAGTCTTCCCAGCCTGGTGCAGGTCTACAATTTCGTTTCTGGTGTCTTTTGACAGCTCTTTGGTCTTGGCCATAGTGGAGTTTGGAGTGTGACTGTTTGAGGTTGTGGACAGGTGTCTTTTATACTGATAACAAGTTCAAACAGGTGCCATTAATACAGGTAACGAGTGGAGGACAGAGGAGCCTCTTAAAGAAGAAGTTACAGGTCTGTGAGAGCCAGAAATCTTGCTTGTTTGTAGGTGACCAAATACTTATTTTCCACCATAATTTGCAAATAAATTCATTAAATGTCCTACAATGTGATTTTCGTTAGTGGGAAGGTTGGCTGTTATCGAATTGCGGACATATGTCACATTCAACCACGATGCTTTGAACTCTGTAGCGCGCTTAACACCTCTCTCTCTCCCCTTCCCCCCCCTGCAGGCGAGACGTGGAACCCTCTGAAACTGCACTACCAGCTGAGGAACGTGAGGGAGCGCCTGGCCAAGAACCTGGTGGAAAAGGGCGTGCTGACCACGGAGAAACAGAACTTCCTCCTCTTCGACATGACCACGCACCCTCTCACCAACAACAACATCAAACAACGCCTCATCAAGAGGGTTCAGGAGGCCGTGTTGGAGAAATGGGTCAACGACCCGCACCGCATGGACAAACGGATGCTGGCCCTCATCTTCCTGGCCCACTCGTCTGATGTCCTGGAGAATGCCTTCGCCCCCCTGCTGGACGACCAGTATGACCTGGCCATGAAGAGAGTACGGCAGCTACTGGACCTGGAGCCAGAGGGGGAGAGCATGAAGACCAACGCCAATGAGTTGTTGTGGGCGGTGGTGGCTGCCTTCACCAAGTGACCTGACCTACCACCTTCAGACACCAGAGGGTGCTGTTGGGAGAGGACAGGACAGTTTGGGGAGGGACAAAGAGGAGAGGGCTGGTCTGTCTGGCTCCTCAAGGTAGTGACTTAACTGACTTGAGGTCACCTCCCTCTGCCTTCTGAACAGAATGGCCTGCCTCAGACCTGTCCCACAGTTTTCTGAACAGTATGGCCTGCTCCAGACCTGTCCCACAGCTTTCTGAACAGTATGGCCTGGTCCAGACCTGTCCCACAGCTTTCTGAACAGAATGGACTGGTCCAGACCTGTCCCACAGCTTTCTGAACAGAATGGACTGGTCCAGACCTGTCCCACAGCTTTCTGAACAGAATGGACTGGTCCAGACCTGTCCCACAGCTTTCTGAACAGAATGGACTGGTCCAGACCTGTCCCACAGCTTTCTGAACAGAATGGACTGCTCCAGACCTGTCCCACAGCTTTCTGGACATAATGGTCTGCTCCAGACCTGTCCCACAGCTTTCTGAACAGAATGGCCTGCCCCAGACCTGTCCCACAGCTTTCTGAACAGAATGGACTGCTCCAGACCTGTCCCACAGCTTTCTGAACAGAATGGACTGGTCCAGACCTGTCCCACAGCTTTCTGAAAAGAACGGACTGCTCCAGACCTGTCCCAAAAAACCTGTACCCCTCCTTCATCCTCCTTTCCCCTTCACCATGCTCTTCCTCTCTGATGTCATAAAATCGCTCACTTTGACAAAAAATTAAAACTCCCTCTGATGGAGTGATGAGCAGTGTTTTGAACACTGGACTGAAATATGAAGATTCAGTAGTATTCTCTACTCACTATAACCTACAGTGAGCTCCAAAAGTATTGAGACAGTGACACATTTGGTGTTGTTTTGGCTCTGTACTCCAGCACTTTGGATTTGAAAAAAAATACAATGACTATGAGATTAAAGTGCAGACTGTTAGCTTTAATTTGAGGGTATTTTCATCCATGTACATAGTCCCCCAATTTTAGGGGACCAAAAGTATTGGGACAAATTCACTTATTGTGTAATAAAGTAGTCAAACTTTTTCACTCATCATTATTAATGATTCATTCGGGATGATCCGTAACCATGGTAACATCCACATTCATGTAGAAGTGTTTAGAAACATATTATATTCTTATTTACAATAAAAGTGACTCCAAAATGACACAAAACATTATTTACCGTTCATTTCTATTGGACACAAAATAATCTGAAACACAACCAAAACAAAACAGCAAATGCATCCAACAAGTTTGTAGAGTCACAAGCTTGATGTAGTCATTGCGTGCTGTGAATATGGGACCCAATACAACACTATTGACTACTTTAATACACAATAAGTGAATTTGTCCCAATACTTTCGGTCCCCTAAAATGGGGGGGGACTATGTACAAAAAGTGCTATAATTTCTAAACGGTTCACCCGATATGGACGAAAATACCCTCAAATTAAAGCTGACAATCTGCACTTTAACCTCGTTGTCATTGCAGCAGAGCCAAAACAACAACACATGTGTCACTGTCCCAATACCTTTGGAGCTCAGTGATGTACATGTAGATTCCATGGACGTGAAACATAGTAATAGGATATGAATGGAATACTAGATAATTCTCCTCCTGATTTGATTTCCTCTCCAACATGACGACATGGTCTGAAGCTTCCTGTTTCTGTTTTACTCATGTTTTATGAATGGAAGCTTCTCTCATTAAGGTGTTTGGGATCCCGACCACAGCTGCATCTAAAATGTATGCTACTATGTATACACTGAGCGTACAAAACATTAGGAACACCTCATAATTTTGAGTTGCACCCCCTTTTGTCCTCAGAACAGCCTCAGTTTGTCTCGGCATGGACTTTACAAGGTGTCGAAATCGTTCCACGGGGATGCTGGCCAATGTTGACTCCAATGCTTTTCACAGTTGTGTCAAGTTGGCTGGATGTCCTTTGGGTGATGGACCATTCTTGATACACACGGGAAACTGTTCAGCGTGACAAACCCAGCAGCGTTGCAGTTCTTGTCACACTCAAACCGGTGCGCCTGGCACCTACTACCATACCCCGTTTAAAGGCATTTCAATATTTTGTCTTGCCCATTCACCCTCTGAATGGCACACATACACAATCCATGTCTCAATTGTCTCAAGGCTTAAAAATCCTTCTTTAACCTGTCTCCTCCCCTTCATCTACACTGATTGAAGTGGATTTAACAAGTGACATCAATAAGGGATCATAGCTTTCACCTGGATTCACCTGGTCAGTCTATGTCATGGAAAGAGCAGGTGTTCTTAATGTTTTATACACTCAGTCTGCACCCTATTCCCTATATAGTACACACTATCTCTATGGTACTTTTTAGATGAACTAAACCTTCTAGAAGGACAGTCTGCACGTAGAAAGCAGAATGCGAGGTCTCATTCTAGGCTCTGTCCGACACCTGAGAAATATAGATCTATGAAAATGTATAGCCGAAGTGAACTTGGGGTCTGGTCTGGTCTGATCTGGTCTGGTCTGGTCTGGTCGGGTCGGGTCGGGTCGGGTCGGGTCTGGTCTGGTCTGGTAAGGGTATGTCTAGCTGGGAATCATCTGTTGAAACAAAGAAGAAATCCAAGTAATTGGGTGAGTCTCAAATTGCATCCTGTTCTAGTGTACTACTTTTGACCAGAACCCCAATAGGGTGTCTTTTGAGACGCACGCGTTTGTCTCTTCTCAAGCCCCTCTTCAGTTTCGATGTTTTCGTTCCGTCCTCAGAACGTGATTCAGTAACGATAAAGAAACCGCTCCAATGACCCGGTGCTGATGGCCCTGTCCCCCTGTGTGAATGAAAGGACGAGAAACCGCTCCAATGACCCGGTACTGATGGCCCTGTCCCCCTGTGTGAATGAAAGGACGAGAAACCGCTCCAATGACCCGGTGCTGATGTCCCTGTTCCCCTGTGTGAATGAAAGGACGAGAAACCGCTCCAATGACCCGGTACTGATGTCCCCCTGTGTGAATGAAAGGACGAGAAACCGCTCCAATGACCCGGTACTGATGTCCCTGTCCCCCTGTGTGAATGAAAGGACGAGAAACCGCTCCAATGACCCGGTGCTGATGTCCCCCTGTGTGAATGAAAGGACGAGAAACCGCTCCAATGACCCGGTGCTGATGTCCCCCTGTGTGAATGAAAGGACGAGAAACCGCTCCAATGACCCGGTGCTGATGTCCCCCTGTGTGAATGAAAGGACGGCTCTTCTTATACGTTCATTCACCTGTCTGTAATGTTTTGCGGGAAGTCAATAATCGTTTTGTTTTAACTTTCTCATCAAGACAGAATATAACAATGAAAAGAGCATGGATTCTTCTTTCTGTTACCTTCAGAAAGGATTCACACCCCTTGACTTGTTCTACATTTTGTTGTGAAGAAATTGATTTAATTGTATATTTTGTCACTGGCCTACACACAATAACCCATAATGTCAAAGTGGAATTATGTTTTTAGAAATGTTTACAAATTAATTAAAAATGAAAAGGTGAAATGTCTTGAGTCAATAATTATTCAACCCCTTTGTTATGGCAAGTCTAAATAAGTTCAGGAGTACAAATGTGCTTAACGAGTCACATAAGTTGCATGGACTCTGTGTGCAATAATAGTGTTTTAACATTATTTTTGAATGACTACCTCATCTCTGTACCCCACACATACAATTATCTGTAAGGTCCCTCAGTCGAGCAGCGAATTTCAAACACAGATTCAACCACAAAGACCAGGGAGGTTTTCCAATGCCTCGCAAAGAAGGGCACCTAATGGTAGATGGGTTAAAAAAAAGGGGGGGACATTGAATATCCCTTTGAGCATGGTGAAGTTATGAATTACACTTTGGATGGTGTATTAATACAGCCAGTCACTACAAAGATACAGGCGTACCGGAGAGGAAGGAAACCGCTCAGGGATTTCACCATGAGGCCAATGGTGACTTTAAAATAGTTTTGAGTTTAATGGCTGTGATAGGAGATACAGTATTTAGACCCCTTCACGTTTTCCACATTTTGTTTCGTTACAGCCTTATTCTAAAAAGGATGAAATTATTTTTTTACTCATCAATCTACACACAATACCCCATAATGACAAAGTGAAAACTTTTTAGAAAAGTTGCTGATTTATAACAAAAATACATTATTTACATAAGTATTCAGACCCTTTGCTATGACACTCGAAATTGAGGTCAGGTGCATTCTGTTTCCATTGATCATCCTTGATGTTTCTACAACTTGATTGGAGTCCACCTGTGGTAAATTCAATTGATTGGACAGGATTGTGTCGAGGCACAGATCTGGGGAAGGGTACCAAAAAATGTCTGCAGCATTGAAGGTCCCCAAGAACACAGTGGCCTTCATTCTTAAATGGAAGAAGTTTGGAACCACAATATATATATATATATATATATATATATATATATATTCAAATATCTTAATTTCCATCATTATCAATTAATATGCGTAATAATGTTGGCAGTTCATGCGTAGGATTTTAACCTATAACCCGAATTGCCATTGTATTACATTACATTTTTGTCAAGCAATTATTATTTTAGCAAACAATTATTGTGGTTCATCCTATATTCTCCCCCTTGTAACAGATATGGGATACACGCACACACACTCAACCCCTTTCCATCACAATCAACCGTAAGTTCAGATGCTCAACGGTTGTTACATCCCAGAGCCCAACTCAAGAAAGGACCTGATTTACGAATGCAATTACAGTTACAGCTGTTTGAGAAAGCATGCAAGATTGAGCAAAAAATATACACAAATGTCAAGTCCTAGGTGATCAGATCCACCCTCTTCCCCTGAAGCACAAACACTCTGGTCCCCCCGTTGTAACCATATTTCCCAAGCATCTCCGTGCAGTCAGACCTTTGATTATTTTGTGCCCCCTCTCTGATTGTCCGAGTGTGACCCCCTCCCCATGGGTTACTGCAGCCAGTGTTGCCAGCACTGCCACTACCTGGGAATCCCCACCGGCTAGGTAAAAGGTCGTCAAGGTTCTCATTAGCAGCTTTGAGAATTTCCTTGTATATTATGCTCTCCCATCAGGGGGCTCTGGCTTTGTGGAATCAAATAAAATCAAATGTTATTTGTCACATGCGCCGAATACAACAGGTGTGGACGTTACAGTGAAATGCTTACTTACAAGTCCTTAACCAACAATGCAGTTTTTTAAGATTTCTATTTTATTTCAAGTGTTAAGTAAAAAAAAAAAAAAAAGCAAATAACTAAAGAGCAGCAGTAAAATAAATAACAGTAGGGAGGCTATATACAGGGGGGTACCGGTGCAGAGTCAATGTGCGGGGACACCGGCTAGTTGAGGTAATATGTACATGTGGGTAGAGTTAAAGTGACTATGCATAAATAATAAAC